ATGGAACCACCATTTGATCCGGCTATCCCACTCCTCAGTTTATACCAAAAAGACTTAAAATCAGCATATTATAGTGATGAAGCTTTATAGCAGCTCAACTCAATGGCTAAACTATGGAACCAAATTAGTTGTGCTTTAGCAGATAAGTGGATAAAGAAAATGTGGCACACACACACACACACACATATACAATGGAATATTATTCAGCTTTAAAGAAGAATGAAATTATGCATTTGCTGGCAAATGGTTGGAGTTGGAGAATATCATGCTAAGCAAAATAAGCCAATCCCCAAAAAACAAGGGGCAAATGTTTTCTCTGATAATGCTAATTCACAATAAGAGGGTGGGACTAGGGAAGAATAAAGTTACTTTAGGAGTAAAGGAAGGGGAGAGGGTATGGGGAGTAGGAAGGATAATAGAATGAAACAGACATTAGTACCTGATGTACATATATGACTACATGACTCATGTGATTCTACAACATGAGAAATTATACTCCATTTATGTATATCAAAATGCATAAATGTACTCTACTGTCATGTATAACTAATTAGAAAAAAATAAAAGATTGAAATATTCCCTGGGAGTCCACTACCCCACTAGCATGTTTTTTCAGACCACTAAGATTTTTGGAGTAGCATCAGAATCTATGGTAAATTCTGAAGATATAGAGATGAGTAAAATAGTGTCTTGCACTCAAGGTACTTGGCCAAGTGAAGGAGAAAGGCATAAACAATAATTCAATATGGTCAGCCTTTGGGGAGAGAGCCTGGCTGTGCTCCCTGAGGTCAGCCTCCCATTGCAGATCACTTATTAATCCAGCACCCACCAATTCTCTTAAACCACTGCTGCCAGCTCAAGTGTCTAGAGAGCAAGCAAGTACTGCAAATGTGTGAATCAGGCTGGGTGTGAGGTTAGCTCATGCTGGGACCTGTGGCCAGTTGGTGAGTACCTGTCCTGTCTAAAGGCATTCAACTTCTCTTTTTCAAAAGCCATGCCTGTGTTTAATTTGGATCAGGCTGCCAATTTCTGACTTGTTTAAGAATGTAATAACGTTTATTACTACATGCAGGTCATGATTCTAAATAGTTTGCAGGTATTAACTCATTTACTCCTCACAACTGATGAGGCTGGTATGACTACCTAGTTTACAAATTTGCTGAGGTTAGTTACCAGTGAGTTGAGGCTGGGATTAAACCCAGGCAATCAGGCTTTTTCAGATTCCCACTCTTTCCACCCCTCCCCACCACTTTTTTTTTATTAGAGCATTATATATATTAGTTGGGTTCATCCTGACAAAATCATACAGGCATGGAATTTGATTTCAGTTCATGTTCCCCACCTTTTCCCTCCCCTCTTCCCATTCCTTCCTCTACTGATCTTTCTTTTGCTCATCTACCTATTTTTGATTGGTTCTATTTATATACAAGGTGAAATTCTCTGTGGTGTAATATATGCACATAGCATGATTTTGAGAAATCGATTCACTCTTTACTCCCCTTTCCTGTCCCTCCTCCCTTTCTCTCAAACTCTTCCTTCTACTCTATTGATCTTCACTCTGTCTTTATAATATCTGAGCCTCCCCTTTCTTTTCTTTATTTTGCTCTAAATTCCACATATGAAAGAAAACATTCAGTTCTGGATTTTCCGAGACTGGCTTACTTCACTTAGCATTTCCATCCATTTACTAGCAAATGCCATAATTTTATTCTTCTTTATGGCTGAGTAAAACTCCATTGTCTACATACCACAATTGTGGATAGATGAATGGATTAAGAAGTTGTGGTATATTGATAATGGAGTTTTCTCAGCCATAAAGAAGAATGACGACAGAAAGACTATGTCCACCTATATATTCATTATTCTATAATCACCTTCCCTGTAGATCACATTTCTCATTTGAAGGATTCTAGTTTTTTTAAATGTAAATTTTTTTATTTATATATGACAGCAGAATGCATTACAATTCTTATTACATATATAGAGCACAATTTTTCATATCTCTGGTTGTATATACATAGTATATTCACACAAATTCGTGTCTTCATACATGTACTTTGGATAGTAATGATCATCACATTCCACCATCATTAATTACCCCATGCCCCCTCCCCTCCCCTCCAACCCCTCTGCCCTATCTAGAGTTTGTCTTTTCTTCCCATGCTCCCTCTCCCTATCCCACTATGAATCAGCCTCCTTATATCAAAGAAAACATTCAGCATTTGTTTTTTTGGAATTGGCTAACTTCACTTAGCATTATATTCTCTAACTCCATCCATTTACCTGCAAATGCCATGATTTTATTCTCTTTTATTTGCTGAGTAATATTGAAGGACTCTAGTTTTTAATAACTTTGCAATTACCCAAGGTATCTATGTTCACTATAGGAAAAAAATAGGCAAAAATGTCCACATTATTTTAATGTATTCTCCCAACTTCTCTTTTTTCCTCTGACCCATTTCCAATATACTTCCTACTTCCGGGTGTGTGTAGTTTCTTATTCAGTCCTCCTTACAGGAACACACAGTAGGATAATGTTCTATTTTCAATAACTGTGCAAAATGTTTACAGTCTGTGGCTTTTTTTGGACAATCAATTAGGTCAATGTCTTTAGAGAAAGCCAATTCCTGTGAGCTAAAAAACATTCCCAGGGTCACCTAGAGATTTGTTGAAATGAGCAAACTATAAGTCTTTGATCTTATTTCAAAGTGTTTCACTAGTCCAGAGGATGTGGCCACTTTTTATCCACAAACTTTTCTAAGAATGCTGGATATTACATTCTGTTCTTTTTACTTAAGCTAAAACCAAAAAAAGTAATGAGAGTCTTAACATTCTGCCTCCTGGATCTTGTATATACTACTCCTTCCATCAGGACCTCCCAGCAAGACCATTCACACCCACTCTCCAAGCCTTGGCTTCTACCCAACCTTTCGGACACTATTTACATGCTACCTCTTCTGGGAAACCTTTGACCTTCAAGGCAGTTTTAAGTACCCACTGACCAACACTTGCTATTTCAATTGTCTATTTCTTCTTCACCTAATTTGGAACTTGTGTAGTGATTACTTTTAAATCTGATTTGTACCTGAAATTAATGCAGTAATACTCATTTCTTTAAACTGTGTACCTCTGAGCTTTTACACTTGGAAGTTCAAAAATGGTACAAATAATGGGCTTTAGGCTTTGACACTGAACTGACGTGGGCTTGCCATCCAGCTTTAGTATTAATGGCTGTGTGACCTACAACTTACTGAGATAGTTTTATCATTGGAAAAGAAAGACCTACTTTACAGTACCTGGGAGGCTGAGGTAAGAGGACAGAAAGTTCAAGGCCAGCCTGGGCAACTGCACTAGAACTTGTCTCAAAAAAATGAAAAGGGCTAGAATATAGCTCAGTAGTAGAGTGCCCCTGGGTTCAATTACCAGTACCTAAAGGTGGGGGGGAACCCTACTGACTGTGAAGATGAAAGCATACAAGTATAAGTACACCACCTGTCTGTGTTTGTGTTCAAGAAGGGTTACCAACTATTACATTTCTCAATAGAAATTTATTTCATCAAAAGGAGCGATATAACATTTCCAATTGACTAGGAACTACTAAAAATTTATTTCTTTTCAATATTTTTTTAGTTGCTGGTGACCTTTATTTTATTTACTTATATGTGGTGCCAAGAATTGAACCCAGTGCCTCACACATGCTAAGCAAGTGGTCTACCACTGAGCCACAACCACAGCCCCTCAAAACTTATTTCTTAATGACAGACAACTCTACTCAAATTTAATCTGTAACATACACTTAATATTTGTTATTGGTTACTCTCCACCTATTTAGCATCAAAATACATCTAAAACGGTTTTTAAATGTATCTGACTCTCTCAAATACTAATAAAACCCCAGAGATTTGCAAAGTAAAAAGAAATATTGGCACCATCTCAGGAAGGTTTTAGGCCAGGAAATTAATAATAGAGTAAATGTTATTGAATAAGACTCCATTTTAATCTCTAAGAGATTGGTAACTTTAATTCTTCCAAATCTCTAAGCATTAAATTTAAAACAGCTTAGAAAGTATTTTGAAATTATTTACTTAATAGTAAATTGGCTTCTGAGCTAGTGAAGAATCTAGTAATCCAGTTGAATGTTTAGACCCTCTTTTTAATTTCCTTATACAGGAACCAAGATATTTAGCAGCTGATTAGTGCCAAATTTAACCTGGGAAGACCCACAGACAATGCTAACAAAGACTCTCTTTAATGAACTCTTCAACCCTGGAGCATTTGCAATCCCAACAGGAAACATGTCCCATTTCTTTGTACTTGTATTTAAAGATAAGCTAAAAGCTCTCTAAAGCCACAGCATTAAATAAGAGGATGCTCTTTCAGCATCAGTATCAACCAAGCATAACACACAACACCATGTTAAACATTCCTTCAACTAAACATTTATTAATTTCTACTTGCTCTAAGTAAGAATGGCTTGCTCAGAAGCCACTCTAGTTACTGAGGTGCCAAGACGAATGAAACAATGCATTCTTGTCCTTGAAAAGCTCTCAGTTTGAATTTTATTTACACAATGTAATATTTTAAGGCATTAACTCACAATTTAAGTAGGAACTAATTCATAGCTAGGTCCAGAGACTTTGGAGAAACGGGACCAATACACTAGAGACATTAGTTGGGTAGGAGAGAGACAAAACCATGAAAAACAGGAAAACTGAAATGCAGAACAAAGGAAATAGTGGCATAATGGCAGAATCCTGGGAATTAGAGACTTAGTCACACTCCAAATTTATCAATTACCACTAATGTAAACAATGTTGTTTTTTACAACTGGTATGTATTTTATGGAAAGTATTTTATATTTAAAAATTTTTAATTACCAAAAGAGGGTTGGGGATGGGGCTCAGTGGTAATTTGCCCAGCATGTATGAAGTCCTGGGTTTAATCCCTAGCACCTCCCTGCACACACACACACCACACACAAACACACACACACAAAAAAATACATTAATTACCATTTATTTAATAGGGCTTTTAAGAAGATCAAATGAGAATACACACACAATGTGTTTGTTTACAGTGCTTATCACGGGGAAGCTCAATGTATACAAGTTTTTAAAATATACATCTACTTAATGGATGTTCAATATAATATTAACATAATTAACACTAATACAAATTTTGCCAAAACAGTTTGTTCATGATCATAATACTGAATGACAGACTGATGCAGTAAGGTTAACAATAAGGTCAGAGCTTCCAGACCAACCACACCTAAAATCAAATTAGAGCTCCAGTTCTCACAGAAGGTGCCGTACCTTACATAAACTGTTTCAGCATCATGATAAACTTTCACACAAGATCATAAAGATTAAACATAAGGGATATAAAGCCCTCTACATAGAAACTGATCCTATTCAAAGGTTAAGTTCATCCTTCACGACCTGCAAATAAATGCATTTCCAGCTGTACAGAACACCTGAGTTTCAGATGTTTAGCATATAAATCCCAGTGCTAGTTGAGTCTCTTCCCCTTTCTCTTCCTAAGGGTGATGGAGGAAGGAATATATTCCCTCTCCCCACCCTTTGGCAGGAGCATGGCTCCCTCCTGGGCTCTGACTTCCCAGGGATGGCACAACAGACCCTGTCTGGGCTGGTGGTGCCAATGGTGGTGTGTGTGGCAGAATCTTGGCAGTGTCTTGACACTCCAGTCCCACAGCAACTTCACATCAGTTCTGTGAGCTAACTCAACTCCCAACCAATAATTCTTTTTCTACTTAAACAAACAGTTAGTTGCTATTGTTGCTAAACAAGAACCCTAACTAGAAAATTTCTGTAAAACTAATGAACTAAAAATAAACTCATATCAACATCGTGAAGTTGTTCTAATAGCTTTTCCTCCATGATTGAATATACAAAGATAATGGAAGTAATGTATTTTTCTGCTGTAAAGATGGATGGAATATATCAAAATCCACTTGTTGAATTTTCTTTAAATAGTCCTCTAAAGAAACCTGAAAAAAAAAGAATAGAGGTTACTAGGTCATAAAGTAATCAAGTCTTTCAAATCAACTAAAGAAAAAGTACAAGTATTAAGGTTATTTTAGACTTTCAAGATAGTCTTCTACATAATAAGAATTTAAATGGGAATTTAAAAAGGGAGAGAGAAAATAAAGACATCTTCCAATAAGTTATGCTTAGGACAATAAAAGTATCACAAAGCTAGTATAAAATGCCAAGCCTCGTCTGCTTATGATAAATAATGTTCTAGTCAAGATGCAAGGATTAGAGGAAATTATGTTCTCCTAGTCTTACACAAAGGATGTTTTAATCATGGTACGTAAAACATCCCCCATCCTGCCCCACAAATGCAATGTGGCAAGAGGGAGATCAAGTTGTCTTTTTTAAAAACTATTTTGTGAAAAGTTTAATGGGTTACCATGTTTTTAATAGAAAATATGATCTTTCAACTACAGACAATAATCACAGGTCCCTATAAGTGTCATCTATCCTTTCTCCATCACATAAAATTTGACAAAATTTTTCCAGATAGAGGCAGGATAGAAAATGCCAACAAGCCAGGTGTAGTTGTGCATATTCATAATTCCAGCAACTCAGGAGGCTGAGGCAGGAGGTTCACAAATTCAAGGATAGCATCAGCAATTCAGCAAGACCTTGTCTCAAAATAATAAAAGGGCTGGAGATGTAGCTCAGTGGTAAAGTGGGTTCAATCCCTAGTACCCAACAACAACAACAACAAAAACAAACCAATAAACAAAACAGCAACATGTGATATTCTCTATTTTTTGGTTTTCTGTAATTTTTTGCTATTTTATAAAATTCTATTTTAATAACTTTTTTTATTAAACAAGAAGCCATTTAATTTTGCACTCCATGATTCTGAGGCACCACTCCCTTCTCAAGTCACATGCCCAGCGCCCCCTAGAGTTCTGCAGCATAGAACATGGATGATACAACACAGGGTTTATGCCTGAAAATTCTTTAAAATATATAGATGGAAAGAAAACTCAAATTATTTTCTTCCTATGCATTTATAAACATGAGTGTATACATACATATTTAGCAGCTACTTTTTTAATGCCCTAATTTTTTATATATATATATATATATATATATATATATATATATATATATATATATACACACACACACAACAACCAATATGTGCATTAAAATGCATAGCTGCCTTGTTTTATATTAACTAAAGACCTGGAAACAAGCTAGAAATTCTCTGACAAAGGAGATAAATTGTTCATATGATGATATATTGCAATGTAGTGAAATGAATGTACCATAGCCAGATGTAATATGGAAAAAAAATTTAAAATGCTGTGTATGTATGTGTGTGTGTGTGTGTGTGTGTGTGTGTCCTAGAAGACAAACAGAAAACGACCCACTTTTATAAAGCTCAGAAATAAAATTAAGGAACATATTGTTTAGGAAAATACAAAATGAAGAAAGTTTTATGGAACAAATGCCAAGTTATAGTAAGCACAAAATTTAGGATAGTTATCTGAAAGTGGAAGGCAAAAGCAGGGGGACGAAATGGGGAACACAAGTACAATTTTTTTTTCTTTGTTGAGGGGTGGGATTGAACCCAGGGGCACCTGAGCTACATCCCTAGGACAGTCTCACTAAATTGCTGAGGCTGGCCCTGAACTTTGATCCTCCTGCCTCAGCCTCCCAAGTTTCTGGGATTATAGGCATGGGTCATGGTACTCACCTAAAACAAGTACAATTTAACAGTGACACTCTAGTTCCTGGATTGACTGGTAAGTTCATGAGTATTTACTGTTTTGTGCTTTGTAATACATACAACATACATATATTCATAGATTCATTTGTATATTAAAAATTGCAAAATTTAAAAAAATCTTTAGAGAATATTTTAGTGCACCTATTTCACATGTTACCTTTTTCTGAAAATATTTTAGTGTTCATCTCAGTGTTCTTGGGGAATTGGTTCCAGAATATATATTGAGAACTGTGGGACTAAATTAGTGGTTCTTGGGTCAAGCTGTACTTTACAACTGCTGGGGAACCTTTTAAAAAGTAATAATGCCTTGGCCCAGTCTCTTAGGTATTATGATTTAATTGCAAAAGGGTCCAAGCATTGTTCTAGTTTTTATTTTTAAATGCCCAAAGTGATTCTAATGGGCAGGAAAAATTGAGAACTTTTTTTTTTTTTTTAATAGAAGTACACAACAAAGTCCATAACCTTTATTGAGCTTACTCTGTATGTTAAATAGCTGGTGGGACTTCCTCCAAATAACTATCAAAAAAGATAATAGAACAATATTAAGATGAAGACATTATTTCTGTATAGGGTGGAATTGTGGGAGTTCTAATGCCTTCTTTTGCATCCTCTCATATGATGCAAACATTAAAATGTTAACGTATTGCTTTATAATAAGCAAATCAATAAAGAAAGAAAATAATTTCAAACACACAGACCTAGAAACTTAGGATAAAACTAGCATAGAATTCATGAAAGAATAGAAATAAATCTTTAAATACAATGTGGAGGGAAAAGATAGAAGAAAATATGTTTGGTTTTATAGAAAGCCTGAGTTCACAATTTTCAAAGATCACAAATATTTGAAGTTTGCTTTCTATGCCATACCTAAGTTTATTCCCAGGAAGACTAGCAATAATGTATGGAAAAATCTAGTTCAGAGCCTGTCCCATGATGGGTTCCAGATAACTGGAAGAAATCATAATGTCTCGGGGCTTGGGCTGGAGCTCAGTGGCAGAGTGCTTGCCTAGCATTGCACTGTGTTCAATCCTCAGCACCACATAAAAATAAACATATAAAATAAAGGCATTCTGTCCATCTACAACTACAAAAATAATAATAATAAATTATAAATTCTCTATGTAGAACAATAGTTCTCTATTTTAGAACAACAGTTCCCAAAACTGGTTACATAGAATTATTCTTTAAAAATCACAGAGTCTCCTAGGAAGTGTCCCCTCTTCAATATCAAGAGTTTTATTTAATGAGACCCCAGGAATCCACATTCTAAAAAAGCTCTCCACATTATTCTGATGTGGCCAGCTCAGTACTGGGCTGTGAACCACTGTTCAGAAACCAATTCTACAATATGCTCAGTTTGCTATGCAGAAAAAATTAATAGAGTAAGCAATATTTATATAGCTACTAGTAGCAAACAATCCTATCCTATAAGATAGTTTCTCCTATTATTTGCCATTTTATCAGTGGGTAAACTGAGGCACACAAGGATTAAGAAAGTTGAGATCCCATGGCAAATAAGGGCAAAGCAGATTCAACCCAATGCAGTCTGGCTGTAGTCAGTGCTAATGACAACTCAGCTCACCAACCTCTGGAAGTACAGGAATAACCATCACCAAAAACACCACGTAATTAATAAAGCCCACTATACTGGAGGAAATAAAACCAAAGGCTCCAAATGGAAGAACTGCACTGCAAACCTTGTAAAGTACAAAAGGAAATCACGCACATCTGCTTCACTAATTATACAGCCTTCTCTGCTAATGTACTTACCGTCTGAAGAAAAGCAGGAAATGCTTTCACAGGAACACTTTTGTGAAAGGACCTAGCCTAAAAAGGAAGGGAAAAGAAAACTGGTTTGAAGTATTTTTACAAATAAATATTCTCCTTCTGAAAGTGAACACAAAGCAACACCAGCAGTTTGATAACACAACTAAAGGCCTCTCAAACCCAAAAATAAACAGCTCATTTCCTGCCAAATAGATTAGTTTCCAAAGTATAATGGACTTGAGAGAAAGTGGCTACTACACTATATTAAAAATTCCATTCTTTCTTATGTATTGACCTTGGCATTTTCCAACTAACTTATAACATTTTATAATAACTCTGGCACTTCAGTGCTGTGATAAAGGGTAAACAAAGAAATACTTGCATCAGTAAATTCTAGCACCTCCTTAGCTTAGAGTGACATTATCTCCCATTTAGATGAATAGAAAATCCTCTTAAGTGATTCCACACAGACAAATTAATGTCCTTGGGGCATTTTGCAACTTTTGCACTTCATTTTGTACTTTTTTTAACTTAATTCCCTGATAAGTCAAGTATCAACTATTCATCCTGGAATTCAAAGGCCTTCACATCTCACCTCTAATCATCTATCCAACTTCACTCCTTACTACTCTGGCTATGAACACGTGGTCTACTCAGACTGATGCTTATCATTCTGCATTCACCACTCTTATCCCTGTCTTTACTCATAGTGTTCTTTACACTAGGAAGAGCACATACTCACCGCCTCCACTTCATTCACTGCAGTTTGGGTTTACCCCCAAAGTCTATTAAAATTGGTCAAAGATAATCCATGCTTGTTCTCTTCAATCTCTCACCACCAAGTAATACTTTGCTATTCCTTTCTTCCCTAAATTTTCAGTATAGTAACTCAGTTTTCCTGTTTCTTTAACCATTCTACCTTTTCCTTCTTTCTAATAAAGGTTCTTTCTCTTTTTACTTTATAAATGGAGGAAGGTCTTAAAGGTTCTCTGCCCATCTCTTGTCTAAATGTATATTCTCCTTGAACCACATCACTCAAATTTAGAGATTTAACTGTAAGCCTTTCATATGGATAACTTCCAAATCTCTTATCTCCAGTCCTGACCTCCTTTTAAAGTCACGATCCTGAATTTTCAATAGCCCATCTCCCAAAATGCCCTCTAATCCCCTTAAATTCAATTATGTGCAGCAGCTAGTCAGAAGTCTAAAGATCAGCATGAACCATACCTGCTTCTTTACTGTGTTTATTACTTAATGGCACCATTATCATCTATACTTGAACTTTTCATGCAATCTTTGACTTTCCCTCTTCCTGATCTCGTCTCAATCCAATGAGTTGTCAAGTCTCATTGATTCCACTTCAGTTACGTACATGTGTGTATAACATATAAACATCTACTCTCTTTAAATCACAATTGTTCCCTCTCCTAAGTAAGTCTTCTAACTGATCTCCCAACCTCCAAAATGTGTATTCTCAAATACTGCTGGCAGTTTTCTACTGTGCAACACTAATGCCACTGCTTTACTTGATGATGATGATGAAGGCTAATTCTATTGCACTTATTACAAGCCCAGCGCTGTTATCAACTATTCATGTAAGTTCACTCATTTACTCAAATAATTCTTTGAGCTAGGGGCTAATATGATCCTCTTTTACAGATGAGGAAGCTGAGGCACAGCAAGGTTATAGTCACATGATTAGTAAATGACAGACCACGCTCCTTTGCTTCTCAAAAGCCTCTACAGCTCCCTAACTTTCTGTTCATCCACTGTTCCACACTTACTTTCCAGGACTGGATTTCATATAACCTACAAACCAATAGTTTTCAAACTTAGCTATTTAAAAGAATTTGGAAATTTAGTACCAGTCCAGGTTTACTGTACCCATATCCAGGAAGTAAAGCATAGGAGTTGCTATTTCCTAGGCAGGGTACATGTCCACTGACTAGGACTACTCAGTTCCACATACAGGTCCAGGGCTTTCCTGCCTCTGCAAATCTATAGTGTTCTCAGATCTTACCTTAAACTTAGCTAGTCTTAAGTATTTCTCAACTAAAGTCCCATGTATTTTTTTTTAATATTTATTCTTAAGTTTTAGGTGGACACAATATCTTCATTTTACATTTATGTGGTGCTGAGGATCGAACCCAGTGCATGCTAGGCGAGCACTCCACCACTGAGCCACAACATCAGCCCCAAGTCCCATGTATTTTATCAATACTTCTGTCATGGCAGAGAACTGGGTTACATTCTTCAAGAAATTTAAAAGCTTAAGACAAAGTCTTTAACCTCGAAGAGTTTTCAATCTAATTATTTATTTAATAAATACATGAGTATCTATAATGTACTGGGCACTTTAGATGCTGAACAATACAGCACAGAACCAAAGTCATTTACATTCCATAAAGTAGGGGGGGCAATAAACAAACAAACACACTTTTCATGTCAGAAAGTGAAAAGTGCTAATCTAGGAAAGGAGACTGGGGGTAATGAAAAGGGAGGATGTTATTTTAAATAAGCCGGCCAAGAAATATCTTTCTGATAAGGTGACATGTAAGCACTAACTATAAAGAGTAAGGCAGAGAGGACAGGAAACAGAAAAACAGGAAGTAGAAAGGCCGAGGTGCACATGTAAATGATCAAGTCTTTAGGATTTACAGAAGGCTAACTCTTCAGAAGCCACTGAAATCAAGCAATGGTACAGGAGCTTTGGTACAGAATAGCACAGAGATAAAGAACACAGTGTCAAGAAAGACAGAGTAAACAGCATCAAATCCCAAACTGAAGAAGTCTTAGAAGAAAACTCTTGGAGAATATCTAAAGTGGTATGTAGGAGAAATCAAGAACCAATTCAGGAGCCAAGTTAGAGAATCAAGGGAAGAAAGAAAGTTTCAAAGAGAAAAGAAGTCAATGGTATTAAAAAGGAAGAAGAGTTAACAAGAACAAGAATTTTAAAGAGCCATTATACCTGTAATCCAGTAGCTTGGGAGGCTGAGGTAGGAGGATCATGAGTTCAAACTCAGCCTCAGAACATAGTGAGGCCATAAGCAGTTCAGAAAGACCCTGGTTCCAAATAAAATATTAAAAAGTTTTGGAGGGCTGGGGTTGTGGCTCAGTGATAGAGTGCTTGCCTAGCATGTGTGAAGCACTGGGTTCAATCCTCAGCACCACATAAAAATATATAAATAAAAAATAAAGGTGGGCTGGGGCTGGGGCTCAGCAGTAGTGCACTTGTTTGGCATGTGTGAGGCATTGGGTTCGATTCTCAGTACCGCATATAAATAAATAAAATAAAGGTCTATCAACAACTAAAAAAAAGAATTTAAAATAAATAAATAAAATAAAGGTATTGTGTCCCATCTACAACTAAATGTATATTTATACGTGTGTGTTTGTGCGTATATACATATATATAAAAAGCATTGGGGATGTGGCTCAGTGGTTAAGCGCTCCTAGTTTCAATTCAATACCAAAAACATAAAATAAAGAGCCATTAAATTTGGCAATAAGATTATTTACTAGCAACTGTTTATTAGAGTAGATAGAAGACAAATTATAACAGGATCAGCATGTCTGTGTGGGAAGAGTCTAGGGGTAACAATGAATTACAAACCACTTATTCAACAAGTTTAACTAGGGGAGAAAAGGAAGAAATAAAAGGTTTCACAGGCTACCTGTAAATTTAGTAGCAACAAACCAGATGATAAAAGGGGCAACTTAACAGGAAACTGAAGCTAAAGAGGAATCACTTCAGCTTAGGAGTTTGAAACCAGGGCAACATAGTGTGACCTCATCTCAAAAAAAAAAAAAAAAATTCAAGGGGTTGGGGAGCAGGTTATCAGAGACCCAAAGTGAAAACACCAGTGGGGGACTGCTGAGGATGAATGCAAAGTCCTGGAAGGGAGGACAGAGACACCAGCAGCCATGGCACATGGCAAGACACCCTGTGAACAGAGCAGAGGAAGCCACATACAAAAGTTCAGGCTTGACTTAGTAAAGGGTGCACTCATCTGCTGGCAGAGGGAACACGGATTTTCTTTTTAAGTGGGTAAAGTTGGCCGGGCGCAGTGGCACACACCTGTAATCCCAGTGGCTCAGGAGGCTGAAGCAGGAGGATAGTGAGTTCAAAGCCAGCCTCAGCAAAGCGAGACACTAAACAATTCAGTGAGACCCTGTCTCTAAATAAAATACAAAATAGGGCTGGGGATGTGGCTCAGTGGTTGAATGCCCCTGAGTTCAATCCCTAGTACCTAAAAAAAAAAAAAAAAAAGGGCAACATTTACAATAGTCCCTGAGATAAATTTACTGGGAATTTAATGAAAAATGGAACAAAGACTGACTGCTAAGGTAAAAATACCAGAACCATGTTCTAGGAATAAACACATCTTGAAATGATAATTTCCTAAATGATTTTCAAAAAAGACGCTACTTACATGCTTTAGGTGTAAGTGTGCCTGGCTGGCGATGTCATATATTACATCTCTCACATTTTTATTTTGGTTCCTCCGTAGAAAGTCCTCTTGTGAAACACCATGCTGTGTATGAAAATATACATTATATTAGAACTCTATAAGCATACTAAAACTAGCTTAACCCAAGAAAACAGCTGAGGCTGAGGTTGTAATTCACTAATAGAATACATGCTTAGGATATGTGAGGCATGGGGTTTGATCCCCAGAATAAAAACAAGGAGACTATAAGTGATAGAACAGTATGGTATATACAATATAATGCCTATTTTCTAAAAACTAAATATATGTATGTGTGCATGTCTGTGTGTACAGAGAGAAACACACACACTGCTGGAATATGCAATAAGATGTTAACTAACAATAGTTGTAGGAAGAAAAAAATTACATGAGCCAAAAATCAAACACGTAAGAATTTTAAAATCAAAGACAATAAAGAATCTGACACAGAAAAATGAAGTTCTGATGAATAACATTTTAAAATTTGGACTGAGCTGGGGGTGTGGCTCAGTGGTACAGCACTTGCCTAGCATGCATGAGGCTCTGGGTTCAATCCCCAGGACTTAGAAAAAGAAAAAAGACTATTTCCTCTAATAAAATAAAGAACAGGCCAAGGCAAACACTAGGAATAATTACTGTGATTGCTTGGAAGGGAAGGGAATAAAGCATCAATTTGAAGCTACAAAAAATGAAGTTCTCTAGACCTTCTTACTCATAGCTCCTCCAAAGACCTAACACACCTAACAAATTAAATTCTGACTTGATTAACTCTGGGGCAAAAAAGAGGAAAAACGTTTGCCGGAAGCAATCAGTTTTACTTTCAAATTGGAATAGACTAAGCAAGAACCAAGAGATAACTTCACTCCATGCATTCCTGAGGTAAATTATTAGAATGTGCAAATTACAGCCTCACCTGCATACAAATATCCATAGGAAGGAATACTTTTCTTCTGCTACCATGATAGGGTGTTGCTCTTAAGCAGGTGACAATACCTTGTGCTTTTCCAATGTGACTTGCAGCATGATCTGCATGAAGGTCCTTTATACCTATGATTTTGGAAATGAAACATGGCCATTCTATTCTTTTTAAGTGTGTGAGAAATCAATATAGAAACATCATACAGAAACAACCTAAATACATTAAAGTAGATGTTTGTCCTATTTTTTATATATGAAAAACAGGCTTTAGGCAGAACAAACTAGGCAAAGGACAAGTTGACCATTTTCCTATTAGCAGGTATCTGTACCAAACTTTAAAATGTTTTCCTCAAACTTCAGCACACCAAGAACACAATTAGAATTTTAATCAGTTATCAAAGAAAAACAGCACAAGTCTTCCATTTTTTCTCCTCTGTGTAATTTCCATATGACCTCATTTAAAATATATACTTTACAAACATTCTGCTCTTTGCTTCTTCCTTTCACTGTAATGGCAAACATCACCAGGGGTGCAGGCAGAAGAGGCCTAGGAAATTCATTGGGGACTTGTATTTTTTCTTTTAGGGGGACATAAAATATATAACCTTCTTCAAATGAGACAGTATTATCCTCAGGCCAAATAATTTCCTCATTACAAGACATCACTAATTTGGAAAAGTCAGAGGAGGAAAAGAACCATCTAAAAAATGTTTTAAAGAGAAAGGGAGGGGCTGGGGTTGTGGCTCAGGAGTAGAGCTCTCACCTCATACATTCGAGACCCTGGGTTCAAGCCAAAATAAATAAGTGAAATAAAGGTATTGTGTCCAACTACAACTAAAAAATACACATTAAAAAAAAAGAGAGAGAGAGAGAAAGGGAAAGAAAAATCTCATTAAAACTTTTATAAAGACAATTTATTTTTTTCCTTCTTTTTAAATGTGGTCAAATATTATTGACTGGGAAGGAAGAATCAGGCTACAGGCCTTCCAAATTATAGGAGATGCTATAGTAATAAAGTAAAACTCTCAGCAATTACCAGATTATAAACTATATAGCATTCCCATGAAGTACCTAAAGTGCCTTTGTAAGAGCCTGAGTACTTGGAATAGTATGTTTGCAAAGGAGAATATACATATTTCCCTTTTGCTGTTAGAAAAAAAAAAAATGTACCTTTATAGATGACACAAAGAAAAATTTCAGTGCTAAACTGGTTAGACTGTCACATTAGGAAATAGTGAAATCTGAAAAGTGTTTTATTTGAAAAAAGAAATATGAAATGGAAAAACAACTTACCCAATATTTCTAATGTTAAATAAAGAAGAGAGCTCTGTGTGTTTTCAGCATAATTTTCAAGTTCCTGGATATTACGATATGCTTTGTCATCTAAATTTTTTTCCTATAAAGAAAATGCAAGTAAAGTTTGTTGGTTATCAATATTTTATATAGAAAATTGCTATTTTTATCCTAAAGAACTAAATAAGAGTATCATTTAGCATATTTGTTTAGTAGGCAGTAAGATATTTAAAATAACATTAATTAAAATATTATAGTCCTATACATTCAATACTTACAAATCAGCTCTCAAAATAAAACTCAGGAATAATCTCAGTGTACAAATCTCCACAGACATGGGGTTGGCTTAATTTTTAGTTCCTCCTAAAGCCCAAGGTAATAAAAGACCTTGATTTAACTGGGTAGGTATATGGTAACTCTATGTTTAACTTTTGGAAGAACTGCCAAACTGTTTTTCCAAAGCAACTGCATCATTTTACATTCCCACCAGCAATGTATGAAGGGTTCTAATTTCCCCACATTCTCACCAATACTTGTTACTTCTTTTGTATTATATCCATCCCAATGAGTATGATTAGGATTGTTCATTTATTATAGCCATCCTAATCATGTGTAATCTCATAGTGCTTATTTGTGATTTTATATCCTCTTTGGAGAAATGTCTACTTGAATACTTTGCCCGCTCGGCTTTTTGAACTTTTTTCTTTTTATGCATTTGTAAACTAGTTTTTTACTTTATTTGTCCTTTGCCTCTTTTCAAATTGTCTTTTCACTGTTGAGTTGCAAGAGCTCCTGATACATTAGATACTAGTATATAACTGGAAAATATTGTCATTCTCTGAATTTTCATCTTCTTGAAGTATTTAATTTTGATGAAGTTCAATTTATCTATTTTCTCTTTTCTTGAATTGCCTTTGATATCCTAAATAAAAAATCACTGCCTAACCTAAAAATACAAAGATTTATACCTATGTTTTCTCCAGAGTTTTGTAGTTTCAACTCTAGCATTTAGGTCTCTGATCCACTTTGTTAGTTTTCATGTATAGTGTGAGACAGGGGTACGGATTCTTTCTTTTGCATATGGATAGTCAGCTGTCCCAGCACCATTTGTTAAAAAGGCTAATCCCCACTCCAGGACCATTAAAAAAAAAAAAAAGAAGAAGAAGAAGAAGTTATTTTTCCCCCCACTAAATTGTCTTACCCTATGTACATGTATGATGACACACAAAATGGTGTGACTCTACTTTGTGTACAACCAGAGAAATGAAAAATTGTGCTCCATTGTGTGTACTATGAATCAAAACACATTCTGCTGTCATGTATAACTAATTAAAACAAATAAATAAATCAATTTTAAAAATTAAAAAAAAAATAAATTCACTCACCTGACCATAAATAAGTAAGTTTACATCTGGACTCTCATTTCTATTTTATTGATCTATATTCTTTATCAAAACTACACAGCTTGGTTACTATAGCTAAGTTTGAAAATCAGGAAATGTGAGTCTTGCAACTTTGTTCTTTGTCAAGATTGTTTTGGCTACTCTAGGTCCCTTGCACTTTCACATGAATTTTAAGTTGAGCTTGTCAATCTATATAAAGCAAAGAAGCTATAATTTTGATTACGGTTCTATCAAATCTGTGGATCAATGTTTGATCTCAGTCCTTTACTTTTAAATATCTTCCCTTTCAAATGCCAAAGGTTACTTTTCATTAAATAAAAAGGTACCTCTGTCTTAAGTTTTCTCATTTTATCTTGTAAAAACAAAAATACCTTAAAAACAGATTTTCTTAATGCTTTTTCGCTCTGTGGGTTAACTGAGCAATTTCATTTTCAATGCTAAAGTCATCACCCAAAACTCAGCTCTAAGAATTTACTACAGGATTCCAATCACTGAAATTGTCAGACTTACTTTCTTCCCTCTGCTATTTGGACACAGATCCATGCACTGGGATATGCATAAAAGTATGTATATGACTACTTGAGTAAATGATATTAAGAAGTTATTAGTAATTTTTAAGGTATGATAATTGAATGATAGTATGTTTTTGAAAAGTCTTTACATTTTTAAGATATATTTGTATTTGCAGATAAAATGGTATGTCTGGGATGTACTTTAAAATAATACAGTGGAGGTTAATGGTGGGGAGTTGATATAATACAGATGCAATAAGATTAGACATGTGCTGGTAACTATTTTTTTTTTAAATATTTTATTTATATTTTAGTTTTCGGCAGACACAACATCTTTGTTTGTATGTGGTGCTGAGGATCGAACCCGGGCTGCACCCATGCCAGGGGAGTGCCCTACCACTTGAGCCACATCCCCAGCCCCATGTGCTGATAATATTAAAGCCAGGTGTCAGATACACGAAATTATATTACAGTATTCTATTTTTACAAAAGTATGAAAATGCCCAATTAAGAAAACCAAAATAAACAGGTGTCGTGATGCATTCCTGTAATTCCAGTGACTAGAGAGGCTAAGGTAGGAGGCTTAAGGAGAATCACAAGTTTGAGGCCAACCTCAGCAACTTAGTGAGACTCTGTCTTAAAATAATAAATAAAAAGGACTGGGGATGTAGTTTAGTGGTTAAGTGCCCCTGGATTCAAACCCCAGTATCACAAAATAAAAATAAAATTAAATTAAAAACATTTCCAAATTTTAAAAAACAGAGTGCAGTTGTGCATATACATGCCTCTGCCTAGATACCTATCTTTGCCTATGTGTCTCCAGGTGTAGGAACAGAGAGCCAAAGGTAGTGGAATATAAGGATGAAGGATGAAAGGATGAAGGATAGATAAAATGACATAGTTCTCTAAAAACTTCCTTCATCTAAAATATTAATACACACATATTTCCTCCCTGAAGAATAAGCTTAAGGATTAAAAAGAAAAAAACCTTAAGTCTTGGACAATTTCAACTTACTCTTTCATCAATGATTTTCATAAGCCATCTTTTAGTCAGATTATGTCTTTTGACAGCCTAAAAGAAAACAAAAGTGTTGTTAAGTTTTTGGAAAGTATTAGAAATGACTTACGCAAATTAGACTAAAAGACAAACCAAATACAAAACTAAGGAGCATTTGTAATAAGTCATCACCAGATAAGATAGCAGTGTTAGAGAAGTATCACTAGAAAGCATTTAGAAACATTTCTAATCTCTCTCTTTCTCTGCTTCCTGGCTGCCATGAGATGAGCAGCTTTGCTCAGCCACACCCACAGAGATGTTCTGCCTCACAAGCCCTCACAGCAATAGGGCCAAGTGACTATGAACTAAAACCTGACACCATCACTCACTCAAAGAAAACAGGTGCTCTGTTGTTGTTACTAATAGGGCATTATGTAAAAATGTAGATGTGTAACCGACGTGATTCTGCAATCTGTATTTGGGGTAAAATTGGGAGTTCAAAACCCACCTGAATCAAATGTATGAAATATGATATGTCAAGAGCTTTGTAATGTTTTGAACAACCAATAAAAAAAAAAGAAAACAGGTGCTCTGCCATGAGGATACTCAAACAGTCCTATGCAGAGGTCTAGGTAGTACAGAACTGAGGCATCCTGTCAACAGCCACATGAGTGACCCAACTTGGAAGTACATCTTCCAGTGACTCTGTAAAGTGCAACCCCATAAGACTCTAAGCCAAACACAACCAGTGAAGTTGCTCCTAGATTTTTTTTTCTTTTTTTGGGGGGGATAGAAAGGGGTTCTGGGGATTGAACCCAGGGGAGCTTTACCACTGAGTTACATCTCTAGTCCTTTTTTAAGTTTTGAGACAGGGTCTCACTAAGTTGCTGAGGCTGGCCCCAAACTTGAAATCCTCCTGGTTCAGCATTCCTGAGTCACTGGGATTTCACGTGTGCGCCACTGTGCCTGGCAACATTTATTTCTTAAAATATGGAAGTTTAGAAAAATAGACACTAGTTTCTTAAGGTTAGAAGCAGAATTTGACCCTGTGGTAGTTATTTTCCTCTTGCCCATTCCATTCACTGAGAATTCTAAAAAGGTTATCAGAAGCAGAGATAAAGATTACACAGGAAGAAAGGGGAGACAGAAGGTTGAAATGTCATCTCATAATTCCCTGTTCCACTTATTTCCTAAAATGTTAGTCTTACAAGAGACATCGGTGATGGAACGTTTTTTCTCTTCCACACCTCCCATTGGAACACAGCTAGATGATCATTTTCTCAAAAGTAAACATAAAACAAATTTATCAAAATTTAAACACCTCTGATAATAGAAATTAAAATAAACTGAGGCATCTAAAAAAAACCACTTCCAAGATAATATTTCTAATACTTTTCTAATAAATGTCTTGCCACCCCCATATTATTAGTAATTTAACAATTCCACTTTCAAATAAAAACAATAATTAAATACTGAACATCTCTATTATGTGATACACTTTGATGTCTATGTTTATACATTATATACAAGTTTTTCCCCACAGGATACAGATTTTATTTAGCAAAACTAACCACTTCTCTAAAAATGAAAAGAGTAACTAAAACTCCAATGAAAATACTCTTCAGGGCAAACTCTTATATTAGCAAGTAATATACTCCAACGGCAAAGAACCCACCTTGTACCCAGATAGTAGTCTTAAAATAACTCCCAACAAAGGAATCACAGTTCAAGAGAAATGTGTGCTTCCAGAGTTGGGACAGGGAAGGTTCAAGATAATCCCAGAATATCTTATTGTGCCAGAAAATAAGAAAGTGTTAAAAAAGATGAGGGATGTTATAAGGATAGAGATGCCAATTTGAAGGAGCTCCCACTCTGGGAGAGCTCTGGGAAATCTGAACACCAAAATGATTAAATCCACTAATGAATTATAAACCACTGCAAACATAAACACATAAACACACATACACACACACACACACCAGTAATTAATAAGAAAACAATTAAATATAGGAGAGTAAGAGTTCATATCCATTGCCAATTAGATGTAAACAGAGTGCTGGAGTTGAAAAATTATCTTTTTGGAATTTTTTGTTGTGCTTCAGTTTTGCAATACTAAGAATTGAACTTGGGGCCCTGCACATAATAGGTAAGCTCTCTACCACTGAGCTATATATATATATATATATATATCCCAGCCCCCCCACCTTTTTTTTTTTTTTTTTTTTTTTTGTCATTTAGTTTTTATTCATGATCACAAATTTAACTCTGCAATCCAGCTAGACTTGGGAGGAAAATAAAATATGGAACCTAAAGAACTGCAGCGAGAGCACAAACATTATGGGATACTGCAAGCAGATGGTGTAGAGGGGTGCTCTCCAAAGCTACAGAAGGAATGGTTTGGTGGTTAAGATAAACAGAAGTCCAATGTGTTAGAATTGTGCACAGTCAGTATTGGTAATCTTCTTACTGGTCTTGCCATTCCTGGATCCAAAATGCTCCATGGTTTCCATAATGTTCATGCCCTCTCTCATCCTCCCAAAGACCTCACGCTTGCCATCCAACCACTCAGACTTGGCAATGCAGACAAAAAAACTGGGCACCATTTGTGCTTGGCCTAGGGCTTGTATGCTTCAGGGTGAAGTTCTCATCTTCAAACTTCTTCCCATAGATGGACTTGCCACCAGTGCCATTGAGGTATGTGAAGTCACCACCCTGGCACATAAATTCTGGAATAATTCTGTGAAAGCAGGAACCCTTATAACCAAATCCTTTCTCTCCAGTACTCAGAACATGAAAATTTTCTGCTATCTTTGGAATTTTGTCTGCAAACAGCTCAAAGGAGACTCGACCCAAGTGCTCATCTTTGATGGCAATGTCAAAGAACATGATGGGGTTGACTGCTGGGAGTTGCCCCGGCTCCAAAGATGGCGCTGACTGCGCTTCTCTTCTGGTACTAACTTCCCCATCCCCTGAGACAGTGGCGGGAAGAGCCACCCAATGGTGAGCCCTGCTGACCCTCATGATCCTTACCCACCAATCAGAAAGTGCCCCATGCCAACTGTTAAACCACCCCTGGCTCTATAAATGTGCAAAGTTGTTCCTCAATAAATGGGCACTTGTCCGACGACGAGCCTTGTCCAGTCTTTCTTTCATTGACCATGGCTGAGAGAATGACCACAGGCAATAGCGGCATGTAAAAGTGCTATCCCAGCCTTTTTAAATTTTATTTTGAGACAGGGTATTTGCTAACTTACCCAGCTGGTCTTGAACTTGCAATCCTCCTGCCTCAACTCGGATTACAGGTGTGTGCCACTATTCCAAGCTGAGAAATTATCATTTTGCAACCATAATGATAAAGATTGAATATATAAGAACCACCAATGACAACGAAGTTTAGGGGAAAATTTTTGAGGAGGAGCAGGATATTTGCAGAGTTTTAAAGTATCTCTTCAAAGTTAGCTATTTAAGTTGCAAAGAAGATTATAATTAGAGTAAGAAAAACAGAAAACATCTTGACTCGGTAATCAAAACTAACAATGCCAATAAAGGAAAAATGGACAAAGTATCCTTCCTAATAGGATCCCTTGAGAAGGACCTATCACCTATTAAGTTCCAGTCAAGAATCTATAACCTAAATATAATAATAAGAAAACATTACACAAATCTAAAATGAGTATTCTGGGAGGAAAAATAGTGGGAAGGCTATATTTAAAAAACATCAATGTCAGGATGGGGATGTAGCTCAGTGATAAAGCACTTGCCTAGAACACACAAGGTCCTGGGTTCAATTCCCAAGTCAATGTCATAAAAGACAAAAGATACAGGCTGGTGCAATGGCTACTGCCAAAAATCCCAGCTACTTGGGAGGCTAAAGCAAGAGAATCACAAGCTCAAAGCCATCCTGAGCAACTTAGTTAGCCCTTATTTAAAAAAAAAAAACCAAACAAACAAACCTGAGCAAAGCTCAGTGGTAAAGCATTCCTGGGTTCAATCCCCAGTACTGCTAGAGAAAGTGTGTGGGGGGGGGGGGGGGCAACGAGAGATATATAACAACTAAATACTTGACCCTAGATTGGTTCTTATACTGGAGGGGAAAAATGCTATAGTGGACCTTTTAGGTCAACTAACAAAATTGTAATATGAATGGGAAATTAGACAAAAGTGTTATATAAGGGAATATCCACATTCTTAGGAAATACTGAAATGATTTAGGTTAGTGTCATAATGTATATAACTTAAATTTTGAGTCAGGAAAAAATTATGAACATAATATATATACATATACACATATATGTGAATATACAGAAGTGGGAGAGAGGGAAGAGAGAGGAGGAAGGAAAAGAGAATGCTCATCAATGATTTTAAAATGAGATAAAAATGTTAATATACCAATATAGGTAAAGGATATAAAGATGTTCATTGTACTATTTTTAATTTTGTAACCTTTCTGAAAGTTTGAAATTACCCCCAAGTAAGTTTTTAAACATTTTTTGCCAGATCAACACTAAGTATAAAATAAATATAGCAGTGAAACACTAAGTCTTAGGGATATCCTATACTTCAACTAAGACTCATCATATACAATTGATACCAGAAAGTAAATGGCAGCATGCTCATCAATGCACATGAATGTAACAAAAGTGTAAGTATAAATGGGGCCAACAATGCCTGGTGGGAGCCTGATAGAAGCTGAAAGGGCTGTGTGTGTGAAGTTGGTTCCAAAATGTTCTGAGCACTACTATTTTCTCTCAGGACTTCCCATGGGTTTCTCTTCCAAATTCCAGAAGTCAGCCAATCAGTCATTAGACTCCTGTTCTTGTTTTAGTTTATGTGTGTCTGAGTGGGTCAGGCATATTTGATCTTTGTTACTACACCATTTAGTGCTATTCCTGACATGTCAGAGTACTCAATAAATATTCAATCTATGAAAAGTCAAACTCCTATTTACTTAAGGATGAAGCTATAACAGTTGTAATTCCTTGACCACAAAATATGGTTCTGTCTAATTCTGAAGAAATTTAGAGATCAGGGTTAAAAGAATGAATATTGAAAAAGAGCTGAATAAAGTATCAACTTTGGAAAATAAAGCCAAACTGAATAAAAACCTTGATTCTAAACATAAATTCAAACTATAACTCATATTCATTCACAGAGAAATGGAGTACCCTATCTGGAATGTATAAGAAATTATAAATATTCAACTATTTTGTACCCTGAAAAATATCAATGGAACAATACAACAGAAAAGTGTTGGAAGCCATGTATGAATTATGGGTTTGTCTGAGCCATCACAAGGCAGGGGGGTTGCTTTTCTGAGAACTCTTGGTATGAATCCACCAGTTGTAGATTGCTCAGATTAAAGCTGACACTTTACCTTAGTTCACAGCCCTAGGTTCAAACGCAGCCCCCACCTCCCCTAAAGTGGATATAACTTCCCTAGCCCCAAACAACTTGTTTTTCCCATCTTTATCTTGTTTTCCTTAAGAAGCCTGCCACACTGAAATCTTTTGATGTATTTTCCCTTAAATAAATAATTTGGGCCTTTTTTCTTGTTCGATTTCAGTTCCTATCAGGGCTGGAAGCCCCACCAGACCCCAGCTCTCCGGACAACATAATATCATTGCCTCCCCTCTAAAAAGGACCTGACAATCTTCAAAGAACCAATGGGAAGTTTTACTGGATCACAATGAGCACACAGTTCAACAGACTGGTGAGAGGCAGAGAATATTCAACAAGAACAACTGCTCTGGACACCACCTGCTTCTTTCAAATATTCATATTAACCTTATGATAGGTCACTTTGGAAAGTCAGCCAACATTAATCATCATAATTTAAGCACCTTGTGTTGGAGATATAGCTCAGTGGTAGAGCTCTGCTTGACATGTTCAAGACCCTGGGTTTGATCCCCAGCATCACAAAAATAAATAAATAAATAAATAACAAGTGCTTATTAAAATTTGACAAATTATCGATCCAAAATTGATGCATACATAAGCATACTGCAATTCAGATGTATCATCTGTTTTTTTAAGAGACACTAAGGAAAGATAAATTTGCATTAAAGGAATTTCTGATCTTCTACTGTATTTCCTGAAAAAGGCCACGAACCTTTGATGCAGTCAACATAAACCTGCACTGCAGTCAGGTTTGTGTGTAAAATAATCAATAGGGTTTCTGGAATTTAGAGGAACTTTTCTTTCTACTGGGTAATCTGGTTGACCTTGAAGTGGGTCAAATAGAGGTAGTAAACAACTAGTCTAATACTCACAGCTTCCCATCCACTCTTTCTTCTGAGTCCCCGGTGTGGGGGTCTGGCTTTCCATCTTTACTGGGGCTCTGTGAAGTCAATCTGGAGCCCAGAAACCAGGCCTGTCTCTGCTGGTGCACAGACCTGAGAAGAGGTGTGTACCACTGTCAGGTCTGTTGATGGCTCCTGTTACAGAAACCCTGTTCTGGCACTTATCATATTACAATAGGGACACAGATCAGTGACAAAAGACATCTAATTCCCTTCCTCTGTGCATAATTTATGCATGTTTCTAAATTATGCCTGTTTATGAATGAGGAATCCATATACTTGCTTTAATATAAAGTCATTTACTCTCTATATACATCTAGCAATACAAGTAATATTCTAGTCCATAGTATCCATTCTCTTAACACCTAACAATTAGTGAGCAATTTTATTAAACAGGACAAGGTAGTTTTAGGTTTGTGTTTGGGATATGCTGAGAGCAAGTCTCTCTTCACAAAAAAATTAACACTATTGTTCTAGAGCACAGAGTGTGCATTAAAACACTGGTACAAGGAGCTGTTGGGCAGACAGAACAGAAAATTTATCTGCCACTGCATCAGAATTCGCAAGGATTAAATTCTACAAACAAATATGGAAACGCCTATGCAATTTACAATATAGAGAGACCACATTCTTTTTTCCTTTAATAAATAAATACAGCAAAAACCTGTGCAAATTATCAGTGAATGATTTTAAATACTTCTACAAATAAAAAATAAATTCTTCTGCCAAAACTAACACAGATCTAAATATTACATGGGCCTAAGAAAATTTTCAGGATTCTACTATCATCACTTCTACCGAAACTGTATCCAAAGTAGACTCATAAATTCTTATGAATCAAAAGCAATAATTTCTTTTTTTACCTTCCACAGTTCAATGGCCACTGGCTGATGTGGTGGATTGTCATGGTATATTTCTTCCACAGTTTTTTTCCAAAACTGCATTCGCATCAGTCCAATTGCTTTTTCAGAGACTGAGTCCTTGATCTGTAAATAAGGTTAAAAACTTTAATAAATACACTGTCAACACTCTGAAACTACAGTATTTATTAAAAAAAAAAAAAAAACCTGCATATGTAGACAGAATGATTGAGCAAATGGTGGAGGGTGGATTTCTTGGCAAAGTTTAGGGTTCAGATCCTGGTGGCATGTAGTAAGCACAGCAATACAGCAGCAAAGGTAATCCTTTTAAAAGGTGACCAAGAGGGGCTGGGGTGTGGCTCAGAGGTAGAGCACTTGCCTAGCATGTGTGAGGCACTAGGTTCAATCCTCAGCAATACATAAAAATAAAAAAAGGTATTAAAAAAGGTGACCAAAAGATGCTGTCCCTCTCTGCTCAGGATCCTCCAATGGCTGCCCATCTCATTCAGAGTAAAGGTCAAGTGACTGCAGTCATCTCCAAGACCTTAACTTTCATCCTCACCTTCTGTGCCCTCCTTTCCCTGCTATCCACACTGGCTTTCCATTCTTTGACTGTATCAGGCATGCACATGCCTTGGAGCCTTTTTACTTGCTGCTCTTTCTGCCTAGAATACCCTGCCTACCTACTATATAATACACTCCCTCACTTCCTGCAATTTTTTGCTCCAATACCTCCTTCTCAGTGAGGTTTTTCCTGACCACTACATAAAATAGAAAACCTTGCTATGCTCAGTTTCCTTCTCTCCCCCTTGTCCTGCTTTACTGTTCCCCACAGAACTTGTCTCCTCTGATATATAATACATTTATTTGTTCATTGAATGCAGGAACTTTGCAAATTTTATTCAATGCTATACCCCAAGGACCTAAAATAGTATCTAGCATATTTTAGAAAATTAATTCTTGTTGAATCAGTGAACAAACAAGTACATACAAAAAAGTAGCAAGATGCTTCTAAAAAGTGACAGAGGATTCAGAGGGAACACTGAGGGTTTATTAAAAATGGAATTTTAATCACTGATAAATTATAGTGGAAGACCACAGTGTGACTGTTTATAGCTAAACTGTGACTGACTTAACATGCTGATGTGCAGTTTAAACTTGAGAAAGGACAACCCATGACATCCAGGAATACTTCAGAGAAAAAAAAAAATAGCCAGTCTCATAAACACTACAGATTCATAGTTGTGAATCTCAGTTTTACCTTGGTGCTATACTCACATCCTTTTATTCATTCTTTGTTCACTTCCTATAATATTCAGCAGAGAAACTGTACCAAACTTGCCATTCTTTTCAAGACTCCAGTACTTTCCTGCTCCTTTACTCTCAATATCTGAACTCTCCATTCAATTTACTGAGTAGACAAATGCCATTCTACTTAAACTCCTTCATTTCCACTCCTCATTTCAATTTGTTTTTATCAGTACACATACATACTCTACATTTGAAAAAAAAAAGAAGTCTCCTTCCTTTGAAACTTTTAAGACAAAAATGAGTAAGCATGCTCTAAAGTCTGGGTTTGCTAAAATTTCTTTCATCCTCACTTCATATTACATTTATAATATTAATTTTAAAAGTGTTTTAAAATCTAGGCATGAGGGCACATACCTGTAATACCAGCTACTTGGGAGCCTAAGGCAGGAGGATTGCAAGTTTAAGGCCAGCCTAGGCAACTTGACTAGAACTTGTCTCAAAAATAAATATTAAAAGGGGGTGATGGGCTGGGGATATAACTAGACACTTGCCTAGCATGCATAGGCCCTGGGTTAAATTCCTAATACAGACCAAAAAAAAAAAAAAAAAGAGGGCAGAGATGTTAGCTTAGTGGTAAAGCACCCCTGGGTTCAAAACCCAGTATGTCTGTGTCCCTCTCTCTCTCACTCTCTCTCTCTTTCTCACTCACACACACATACACACACACACACATAGCTGAAAAATTTCCATATACATGTAGATTATATAATTGGAGAGAATAAGCAGTAATGCTCTGATTAACTTAACAGATAAATGTGCAATGTTAATAGCATAGTTTTGTAATATCCTCAGAAAATAAATTTAAAATTCCAGGATTTATTTGTTTTATTTGTTTTCTACAAATAAAATTTGTAGAAAAATTAAGTTTATCAGCTAGTTTTATTTTTGGTATTGAATTAAACCTAAATAGTTAATAAAAAAAGAAAGTACCATCAGAGATCTAAAATACATCTAATATAATAATTACAACTGTATTTCTTTAATATAGTTATATTTGTTTAGTATTAAACATATCACCATCTTGCAAATAACAGTTTAAGGTATTTTAATACCAGCCTGAGCCAGTTCCACATTGAAGGCTCTCAATGCAAAAGCAGAACTTCGGGATTCGGCAGGGAGCAGCAGGGAACATAAATAACTTTCATAATCTCGTTTCCTGTAACAAATAGAAAAAAAAAAGGTAGTTACTCTTCACTTTTCAAACTACACACAAATACAGACGAAAATTAACTGAAATCAATGAGGCTTTCATTCAGAACAGGTCTGACCTTTCTTTTCTTGTCAATTATTTCTAATTATAAAAAAAATGTACCTGCTGCCAATCTCAGGACAGTTAAAAAGAAATTTCAATTTATTATTATTGATGTAGTACTTATAATTTTAATTGTTTCAGAGTCACTTTGCTTGAAGTAAGAATTTGAATGAGCTACAAAAGAAGAAATCAAGAAAATACTTTATGCAGTATTGGTATAAATTCAGAGTTCTTAATATAGAGATAAATAAATCTGAGAAATAAGACATGGAAACCAACATAGGACTGTGTGTGCACAATTTTCCAGCAGCATTTGCTTAAAGAACCTAGAAGCAATATCCTCTCATACTCCCAGCATCAGTGAACATACCAAGCACCTGGAACTTGTTCCTAAAACCGATCTCCACTGAAAGAACCTAGGGGTCCTTAGAAGAACAACTGACTCAGGGCTGGGGTAGGAAAATAAAGGACAGGCCTGAAACATCTTCTTGAGCAGAAAGATACGTTTAAAGGAGGGGGAGATGGGAGATGTGACAAAAGAACACAGAAACTGGCTTGGCCTAGTGTGCAATAACTTGAACATCAAAAAGAATAAAGACAGCTGGAGGTAATGGTATATTCAGGAGGCTAAAGCAGGAGGATCACTTGAGCCCAGGAACTCAAGGTCAGTCTGGGTAACATAGCAAGATGATATAGAAAAAAACAATAAAATAATGGCTAGGGATGTAGCTCAGTGGTTAAGCACTTGCTTAGTTCACAGGAGGCCCTGGGGTTAAAGTTTCAGCACAGAAAATAAAAACAAAAACAAAACACTGAAACACATGTATTTTTAAAATTCCCTTGCCTAATCAAATCCAAGGTAGTTTAGTCATTCTAGTATCAGAAGCCCTTGGGACCAAGTACTTTTAAGACATGATACCACTTAGAATACTGACATAGTAAAAGCAAGGCCCTGGGTTCATCCCTAGCAGGGGTGGAAAAACAAAACAAAACATAAAAAAACGAAACCTTTATGCCAATGTGTGTGGGTGGAGTGGTAAGCCACTGGTCTCTATAGTCAGTCCTGGATTACAAGGCAGGCTTAACCCACCTCCACAAATATTAAATAAAGAGCCATTCTTAAATGCCAACCCTTTCCCAGAGCTACTAGAGGAAACAAAACACTTCAAGTCTCTGACTTCATGAGGCTATTCTAGTGAACCTCTTTCAAATTCCCCTAAACCCCATTTCCGTCAGATAATAATGACTTACACTGCACTTAAAGTGCCCTTAATTATGTGCCAGGCACTGTTCTAAATGCTTTCTCACAACCCTAAATGGTAGGTCTACATTTGTCCACCACAATTTATAACGGGAATTAAACAATTACTTATAAACTACTTTTAGTAATGCACATCGGCATAAAAAGAACACAATGTAAACTATTGTTAAAATTAACAGCTAGCTGTTATGTGAATAAAAAGGGGTATGCATGCAAAAAACGAATGTCGGTTAAAATCAAGGTTCTGGCAAGGTGATAGGTGTGGGCAAACGAAGAAATTTTGCCACGATTTAGTAGTGGCCCATATGAATGTCCCTGTCGCCTCGCTCCCTCCACGCGCGCGCACTCGGACGCACCACAACGCACACAGCCCAGAGACACAAGGAAGGCGTTGATCCCCTAGCCGGGGCAGGACACTAGCCCTAACGGCGACCACCTGACTCTAAGGGCAGCTCTACGACCTGCAGCCGGGGCAGGCCGGGCTGGCTCACCGTAGCAACTCCAGGCAGTAGTGGTCAGTGCCCGAGACGCCCGGCCCACTGGTTGCCACCACGCTCCTCCGGGTCACCGCGGGCCCCGGGAGCCGCCGCACGCACGCCCACATACTACGGGGCCCCGGCCCGAGGCGGCACAGACTAGGGATGTTAAGCTGTAGCGGGCGCCAGCCACAGCCCACCGTGGAGGCCGCCATGACACTGACGCCGCGTGCCCTTCGACCCCGCGCCGGCGGCGCGCAGCGACGCCCCCTGCAGGTCCAGCGGCCGCCTAGCAGCCGGGGAGGGCAGCCTCGCCTCTCGGCTCAGAGAAGAGCCAGGTGGCGCTGTGGTCCTCTGCATCTGGGCCACCGCGCTTCCTGCGCAGATTCCGGGAAAGCCCAGCCCAAGTCCGGCCGATTCCTCCGGGCTACCCCTCCCACATCCATCCAGGGAACCCCCGTATTCCTCCCGCCTCACCTGAGTTGTGAAGGATGCCTTCTTCTTAAAGGAGCTGCCTTGCCCTGTTCTCAACAGGGGAGCTCTTTTTTTTTTTTTTTTTGTCTTTCCACATTTTTTATTGGTGCACTATAGTTGTACATAATGATGGGGTTTGTTGTTATATATTCTTGCGTGCACACAATGTAACAATATAATTTGGCCAATATCACTCCGCAGCACTCCCGTCCGGCCACCCATGGTCTCTTTCCTTTTCTGATCTCCCTTGGATTTTATTGAGATTCTCACCACCCCCACACCTTACTTTTCCTTTTCCCTCTCTCCATATATGAGAAAAAACATACGACCCTTGATCTTCTGAGTTTGGCAAACCGGTGCACTCTTGGCACTTTGGGAGCAGCAGCACCTTCTGGGAGGGACTGTCCTGCACACTGCTAGAAAGAAGTTTGCCATTCCTCCAGAAGACCACCTTCCTCAGGGAGAAAAACACTAATGATCACCATCAGTCAGCCACTACCTGTAGCTCACCTGCTTGTTGATTGCCTCTCCCACTGCACTCCCTGAGGGTGGTTTCATCATTTTGTTTCCTGCTTTATTCCCAACGCCAGTCCTTTGAACATTATAGAAACTGATTTGCCTCAGTTCACTTAAAGGTAAGGTCAGGTATGGTTCAAGTATTCAAAATGTCTGTATTATTTTAAATTGGTGTTTGGTGAGGGAAAAAAAAAAAAAAAAAAGAGGGGCAGGCTACAAGCCACAGTCTGCTTTCCTGGGCCCCCAAGGTCCAACATTTAACTCCAAGAAGTCCGAAAATTCTCAATTTATACCTTAGGTCCTTATGAAGATGTGTGTATAGAGGTAGAAAGATCAAGTATATTTTTATAGTTTCCTAGCTTGATTTATAACTTTTAAATATTTGTTCACATGGTACATGGACCTCCTTTGGTATTCATACCCTCAGACCTCTTAATTTTTAGTTAATTGCCATCACTGATCTGACCCAAACCACCAGCTGCCTATACCTTGATCCCAGGGATTCCTCCCCACTCCAATTTGCAATGCAAACTGTTCTGTATTGAATTGCAGCCAGACTGGTTCTTTCTAAAATGTGCATCTTATCGTGGCCCTTTCCTACTTGACAACCTTTACTATGTGTCCTTTACTATGTGTCCCTTTATGGTGTAGCCTCTATTTACCATCAGTCTCAGTTCTGCCCATTTGCATTTGTGACTGTAGCTTAATGTTTGTTTAAACCAAAGACAGCAGCTTGTTCCCTGGACCTAAGAACCCCTTCACCTAGCTTTTGATTTCCTCTTTGAAATTGCCTCTCTTAGGCCTATACATTAGCCCTGCTCCAGCCCTTTTTGTAATAATGTCATCTCTTCTCTCTGAGCTTGTCCTTTAGCTCTGATAGATACATGCCACAGTTTTCAATACTACAATTTAAATCCACTCCACTAAAAAAAAAAAAAAAAATTACCCATCCACATTTTCATTTTGATCTCCTGCCTGTTTTTTTTTTTCCCCATCTTGACATCTTGTTATTACTTCAAAGTCTACATGTCTGAAAACCAAATCAAACGAACTTTCCTCCTCATCTCTTTATTTGAACAGTGTCCCCCCTCTCACAATCAGTGGAAACACTCTGAATCATCTTTGCATCTTTCCTGTTCTGTATCTAGTATAATCTATCTGGTCCTTTCCTTCACATATATGCATGAAGATTCTCCACCTAATTATTTTAAACAATATTACTTTTGGTTGGATATGCAATATACTTAATAATTTTGCATCCATGGCAGCATAGCTGGTACAAAAGTACCTGGATTCAGATCCTGGCTCCACCTCCTATTGCTTCATGACCTTGGGTGAATTACCTGCCTTTTCTTGTACCTTAGTTTTCTCACCTATAAAATGGAAATAATGATAGAATCAACCTCACAAGATTACTATGATAATTAAGTAAATTAACACATCTAAAGTAACTGAGAAAGCACCCAGCCCATAATAAGCACTCATCAAAAATCAGCTATGTAGGGAAAACATTATGAAAGGCTTTTCAAATGAAGAAAAAAGGTTGTTGGTTTTCTTCAATAGAAAACTAGACAAGAGTCCAGCATATTTGCCTCTGTGGTATGTGTACATTCTTTGAGCTATTTTACAGGTTTATTTGTTGTTATTGTTTGTTTTTTTGTTCTTGTGGTACTGGGGATTGAACCCATATTTTACAGTTTTGGAAGTTATAGTGACCATAATAAAAATTATTCTTGCTCCTAAATATGCAAATTGTGCTCAATGGAAATTCAGTTGATTATTATTCTATGACTATTGACCAGTTTTACCAGTTTAAGCAGATTAATTTATGCATCCCTGACTGCCTATGTATGTCTGGTACCTTGGGTACTACTTTGAACTAGTTGTAACATCTTACTGGTTCCCTCATTAATTAGTTAATGAGTTGAATGAAATGTTTGTTCTTATATCTGTATGAAAGTCACAATTTCATAGCATTTAAAAATTATTAACAGCTATCTTTAGCTATTCCATTGTACTTCTATTATCCAGTTTCACATATTTCTGAAGAACCTGTTTCACTTATTTCCTAATTAGTCTAGGCCAAAGAGTCTATGTTGAAAAATACAACCATTTCTCATCATCAGATACGAATACTAAAGATGTTATGAACCTAAAGAGATATTAAATCTGAAGGCAAATCTGTTATTCAGCTTTAAGTTTCCATAACAAATACCTAGAATAAACCAACCTAAAAGGAGGAAAACTTGACAGGTGTGTTGGTACGTACCTGTAATTCCAGCTACTCAGGAGGTTGAGGCAGGAGGGTCAGAAGTTTGAAGTCAACCTGGGCAACTTAGCAGGACACTATCTCAAAAAAATAAAAAGCATTGGGAATATCTTAGTGGTAAAGCGCCCCTGGGTTCAATCCCCAGTACCACAGGGGAAAAAAAGAGGAGGATAATTTTATTTTGGCTCATGGGTTCAGTCCATGTTCACCTGGCCCTGTTGCTTTTGGGTGTGTGGCAACACAGTACATCATGGCAGAAGCACATGGTAAAAGAAGCATATTCACTTCAAGCCATCCAAGAAGCAAAGAGAAGAATATCCCCTTCAAAGAAGAGGCATGCCTTCCTCTAATTAGGCCCCATCTGCTGAAGGGTGTAATGCTTCACAGCAGTGCCATAGGCTGATGACCAAACCCTCAACACATGGACCTTTGGTGGACATCCATGTGTCAGCAGGCTTATAGCAGCAGGCTTCCAATTAATGTCTATAGAGGAAAAAATTAAGAACTTTTAAAATTATACCAGGAAGAATAGATTATTGCCAACTAACATTAATTGAAATCTAGTATTACAAAAATTTGAGAGATTTTTTTCTTATACGTACTACTACTACTACAGGTTTGTTCTGTTTTGTTTTTGTGGCACTGGATTCACATCCCCAGCCTTTCTGTGTTTTTATTTTGAGACATGGTCTTGCTAAGTTGTCTAGGCTGGCCTCAAACTTGCGCCCCCCCCCCCAGCCTCAGTCTCCCAAGTCAGTGGGATTACAGGTGTGTGTTCCCACACCTAACTCTGCTACAGGTTTATTAAATAATTGTGAGTATGTGAATTTATTTCCTTTGTCTAATTCCTTAGTGTCAAAACTATTGTTTTGAAATATGAATACACTTTTATTCATTTATAACCAAGGCTGAAGCTCTGTGCTTATCCAAAAAAAATAACGTAAACATAAATGACCACAGAAGCATAATTTGTTAACTTGGCCTTTTGCTGAGTCATTTGCTCACTGGGTTCCCTTCAAGTATATGACTCTATCCATAAAGATATAAGGGATCTGTGTAGTTGTCAATGAAACATAGTAACATTTCTTTCCAAGTTTTAGCCCAATAAAGATTGTTCTTTGGTTGATTGCTACATTGTGAGTTATGCCGTATAGCATGTTAGTTATGTCTTATTATTCCAACTTTTACTCTACTCTTTGTGTTTACCATGGCCTTTTGTTAAAAAAGTGAACTCCATTGATTATGTTAGTTGGCAGGCTGGCCCTCAGCTTTCGTATGACACCTTGTGTGTCTAAAGGGTCTGAGAATCTACATCAGACCACAGCTGGTTAAACTTCCTGGACAAGAATTCTCTCTAATCCAAGGCTCTCAGGGATCAAGTAACTTCTTCATTCATTTCATTTCATTACATATTTTCCATGGAAAAGTATATATATGAAATCTGGAAAACACAGGCAAATCTAGAAAAACATCATGCTAAAACCTGTAATTCAAACAATTACTATTCATATTTTTAAATTTTCTTCCATCCTTTTCCTGTGAATTGGTTTTTTGCTTGTTTTGTATATTGACTTGGCCTAACATTGTCATAAACATTTCCTTATGCTATTATTCCATTCATTTAAAAGTATGTGCAGTGGCACATACCTGTATTCCCAGCAATTTGGGAGGCTAATGTAGGAAGATTGCAAGTTCAAAGCCAGCCTCAGCAACTTAGCAAGAACTGTCTCAAATTAAAAAATTAAAAGGGTTGGGGATGTATCTCAGTGGTAGATCACCCCTGGGTTCAAGCCTCAGTACCACAATAAATAAATAGATAAGATAAATTTATTGAGAGTTTTCTATGTGCCTAAACTGGACCAAGTGCTAGATTGCCAGGATAAATAAATAGAAATATCCCCATATCCTTCCTCAAAGAGCATAATATCTGGTGGTAGATAAAGACATTAAACAAATAAAAATCATCACAAGAGGCAGGGGATCTAGCTGT